TAATGAATTTCACTCTGAATTAGAGATATGGTTTTATTACTTCCATTTGTTTACTGAATTGTGTGTATAAAGAGGATATAATTTAAATATTATTATAATCTCATTTTGAAACTGACATCCGTGCAACGCACGGGTGAAGTACTAGTTATCCAAATAAGAGGGAATTTTCGTAATGACCATAATCTGGGGTGGTCCGTAATTTGCCCGAATAATAATAACTAAATTATTAGTAAGTTAGTAGGAAATTAATCCAAATTTTATCTAATCTAAATTAATTAATATATATAAACAATACTACACCTTTCAAAAAACATCAGGCTATTACAAAATAAGTTCATGGTGTGCAAAAAAGTTTCTAATCTGTCTGGAATCAACGATCAGGAATTTTGGTCCGCTTAAGGAAAAAGACAATTTTACCCCTAAGATCTGTAAGATGTATTACAAAAAATAACATTTAGTACCAAACATTCTACTAAAACCAGATAATTAGTTTTTTTGATAATTAACCAGATAATTAGTTAATACAATCCAATTCAATCCAAAAATATCCCTTACATAACTACTAAAATCTATTCTACTAGAAACAAACATATAACAAGAATTCCTAAAGAAAAAACACTTCTTGCATTCAGACACATTGCGGCATCGCATAAAGCAGTCGAAACAAAAAAATGCTAAATACCAAAAACGAACGTCCGCCCACGCCTCGATTTCTTCACCTGCAGCTTCGTACCTCCCTTGAAAACATCGTTAAGCGATATGAAGCTTAAATCATGTGCAGTAACTCCTGGTCTCCAAGGCCCCATGGACCTCAATTCCCTAAAAGTTCGTTTCTCGGGACTAAAAGAAACGAGCGAATCCGAACTAGACACAAACCAAAGATCCCCATTGCTCACAAATTTGATCGGCCGATGCAAATCCTCAACTTGCAACTTGCAGTAGAATTTCATGTCGATACCAAACTCTTTCCTCCACGTTTCTTTAACTCCGTATTCTCTCATAACCCAAGCCTCAAACATTGCGTCCTCGTAAATGTAGCAGATGCAGAGGTTTCCTCTCAGGACACCGATGTTGATCCAAGAAACCTTACGCATGTAAGCCGCATTGAAATGAGGAGGTGGAGGGACGAAGTCGAACTTTTCCCTCTCTAAATCGAACGAGCTTATAAGCTCAGAGGGTTTTTCGCTGTTTGTTATCCAGTGAAGAGCACCGTTTAGGAAAGGGTCGAACGAGTTTCTTTTCGGGCAGGGCGCGTCTTCGATCCTTCTCCACGAATCCGAACCAAGGGTGTGCAGATCAGCAACAATTCTTTTCGAGTTCATAGGATTCTCGACAGATGTAAGATGTAAGAACCGAACAACCTTGTACTGCTTCAACCTAGAACAGTAACCGAATCCGGAATACTTGGCGTAAGTATAGAGTGGGGCCGATGCAGTCGGCTGAGGAAGCTTCGTGCATTCGCCGAGTATAGGGTTGCAAATACCGTAGAAAGGATTATCCCCCGAATCGAAATACAGACACAGCAGTCCGTTACACGAGCCAATCAGAGTAACTCTTTCGGTACGGAAACTGAATTCGGCGTTTATTCGACACAGTATAGGCAGCCCGCATTTGGAATAGGAACAAACGTTCTGATCGTTGCTGCTGCATGAAGACAAAGTGGACTCGCAGAGATCGAACGTGAAGAAGTAAAGGGCTCCCAATCTTCCCACGGTTTCTTGAAGGATTAAGTTTGTTGTTAAGGCGGGTCCGCGAGCGAGATGTAACTTGGCGAAGTAAGGATCTTTGATTAGTTTGAGGAATATCTTGCAAACACATGTACAGCGAATTATGTTTGTCAGAGGCAGCCTCGAGAGAATGTCGGACACTAAGTGGAGAGGTAAATCGAGTAGAGGGAAAGGCTGCGAGGGTTTGGTGTTGGAGCATTGTTGTTCGTTTATCGAGTTTTCCCATCTCCGTCTTTTGTAGTCATGCAAAACCATTATCGGGACTGCTGCAGAAGTCTGCATCACAAAAAAATAATTACGAATCCCACTTCAACATTCGGTAAAAAGTTTGATTAGCTAATTACATAATAATGCATGAACTATTGCTAAATCGCTACTCGGGTGTTATAAAATCAACATATAAAACTGGAATTCTACTACACAAAACGAAGAAATAAATCATTCCGATCCAACGAGAAAAATAAATAAATAAATGGTAAACAAAAGCATCTTATTCCTCTTGTTGATTATTCATCGAAAGAAGAAAACGAAACTTTTGTGAACGCCACAGTAAGCAGCGAAGAAATCAGGTTGCAGAAAACTGATCTAGAAAATAAAGTGCACTTGGATTGAACACAAATCGGAGAAATATTAAACCGAAAACTGTTGCTCAAGAGAACCCTCGAGTAAACGAAAACTCGTGTCCGAAACCAATATTAATGAGAGCTTGCCCAATTAAATATACACGAATTAGAAACTAGTCCTTTTCAGCTAAAGTTCGCCATGATCAGCTGAGAAACATGTATAAATAAACCTCAATAATTTAAAAAATGAAAATAATAATAATAATAAAAAAAAGTGATATAAAATTCATGTTATTGATCCGGGTCATGAATTATTCAATTTAATTGCGCGTGGCAGAATTCATTCCTCGTCTTGAATAATTAAAATCGGAATCGGTAATCCCAAATCGAAATTCACAAAATCATTCACAAATCGGGGAAAATTTTAAAATAAAAAAAAGGAGCAATTAAATACGTCGAAATTACAATCAATTCGCATCTGCGGCCATTGAAATCAATAATCGAATTCAGATCAAAGATGTGCATCGCGATCATTTAGCGCAAATCCCAAATCGAAATTCACACAAACGGCGATCCGGACAACGCCGCAATTGATACAGAAAAAGGGAACATCGTACAATCGAAGAATTGATAATAATATTTAGAGAAGCGAGGGTACCTGAAAAGAAGAGCGAAAAAAAGAAACCCTCACTGGTTTTGCTTCGTTGTCAGCGCTTACTGCTTTTTTACCGGAGAGAGATTCTAGAGAGAGAGAGAAGAGAGAGAAAGAGAAAGTGTGCGAGGATTAAATACTGTTTTTTTTATTTTTATAACGCAGAGACCGAGTACGAGGAGTTGGACTTATAATAATAATAATAAATTAATTATTTGAGATGCCTAAAATATGGGCTTTTAATAATAAATTAATAATTAAAAAAGACCCTCTCGTTATTAATAATTTAATATTAACAAATATTATTGAAACGAGTACCATAATAAGTGGCACTTTTGAAATATATTTTTGTTTTGTATTATACGCCTATTTTTCTATTATAACCTTATTAATTTAACTTTAAATATTAACTTCTCTTATAAATAAAGGTCATTTTAATAATTTTAAGTGATTAAACATTTTTTATTAAACATTTTTTTCTAATTTCGTCGATTTCGATCAAATATTTGCGATTTTAAACAACATTTTTCATTATGGAATTTTGAAAGTTTTGATTTCCACAACTATTTTAGATATATATTAGAATTGGAATTGAAATATATATGAGAAATGCCGATTTTTTTTTTTTTGAAATTATTTGAATCGTTGGAATATATATGAGATTTCGATTTCCGGACTGATTTTAAGTTCTGAAGATGCCAATTTTTTCTCCGAATATTACTAATACCAATATTATTATGTATTTTATATTTCAGGTGACAAAAAAATAGAAATTTTCGGATTCCACCGATACCGATTAATTTTTAAATATGTTGAGGAAATATATTTTTACTTTTGCACTTTATAGTTTCGAAAAAATTGGTGAATATAAAAATTTTAATTTGACATTTGACATTTGGCATCCTAAAGAAATAGCACTAAAAATGTTAAATTAACTTTATGAATTTAAAAATTCAATGCATTATGCACGATTTATTGTGTTTCAAGGATGCAAAGCACTATTAATTTTTTTTAGGGTGCAGAGAGTCAAGCAAAATGAGATATTTGGTTTCTCGTATCCAATTAACAATTATGCATATATAAATAATATTATTAATTGGCCCATTAGCTCAGTTGGTTAGAGCGTCGTGCTAATAACGCGAAGGTCGCAGGTTCGAGACCTGCATGGGCCATTTTATAAATTTTATATCTTTTTTTGCTGATAAATTAATATAAATTAATATCGTTCATAAAATCTAAATGGGCTGGATCAACATAATTATTTCCAAAGCCCAACCTGTAACTATTTTTTTCTTTCTATGTAAGCAAACTACTTTGGCTGAATAATTTCTAGTTGAGCAGTAAATATATTTTATGAATCTTACAAAATTGAGACCAAATTTGTTTAGTGGATTGAATATTTCGAATTTTCATTTTGATGTTTGTGAAATGGTCGAAAACCATTAAAAACCTTATTTTTCTTCTTTTAAATGTTCTGAACCGTATGTAGTTATTCAATATGATATTTCGGGGCCTCCGAAATTGTGTCATTTTACGTTGATGAATGCACTCCATGTTTGTGGAACTTTCATTGTTGACAATAATCCAATCATCAAAACGAAATTAAAAAGTTAATAATAAAAAATTTGTTGATGAATGCACTCGATTTTTTTCCACGTGGCAACATATTTTAAAAAAAATGTACATCTCAAAATAAAGCATGCTACAATGATTTGATTGAAGCCGAAAGTGAGAAACTTATAAAAAAAAAAAATTGTTCACCATAACATGCTAAGAAAATGGTTCATTCGATCCTACATTCGGTGAAAAACATAGGGTGGGTCTTCTGCTGCCACGTGTTCTTTTTTTTCTTTTTTTTTTCTAAAACCCCTAACGGGGAATCTATTATAAAATACAAAAAAAAGACACGTGGCAGCAGAAGACTCACCCGGTATTTTTCACCGGGTAGGGTCGGGTAGGGTCGAACAAATCTAAAAAAGTGGGCAGTGGTAAATGGGGAAATGGGAATTTGGAATAAAAGATTAAAAAAAAAAAAAAAAAAAGGAGGAAGAAATGATGCAAAATTGCGAGGTGAGAAATATTGTTTATTCACACTTGTGTTCTTTATTATTTAACTTTACAATAAAAGAAAAAGAAAAAAAAAAGTAATAATTAATTATTACTGGGATTAGGAGCTAATGCGGATAATAATTGCTTTTGCCCAAAAGTCATTATTTGCCCATGAACTCCGATTAAATTACGAGAAACCATTGTTGTTTGAATAAATTATGATCATCCTTAACTATGTATTTTTTTAAAAAATAAAATAAAATTATTTTGTATGTAAATTTAACATTGTAAAAGAATGAACATATAAGACAATACATAGTTAAAAAGGGGTGGTTGTAATTACTTAAATAGGATGGGGTTTTCGGTAATTTGTCCTTATTTAATTGACAGGGTGTAATTTATTGGCCATCCAATTACAATAATTTGTGTTTTTTTTTCTCAAAGTATTTCTTTGGTTCAATTGTATTAGATGAATGAAGGGTACTTTTTTTTTTCTTTAAATAATCTATTTTAATTTTATAATTGAAATATAATATGTTACTTTATCTTAAAAGCTAACAATTTAGAGTTAGATAATTGATACTCCATTCGTCCCATTTTATATGTCTTTTTTTTTATTGCACACATGTTAAGAAAATTATTAAACGCACATGTGTTATATAGAAAACATAGTAAATCACTAAAAACCATTGTGATTAATTATTTTTTCGTTAATTAATTAAGAGTGATGAAGGGTAAAATTGAAAATAGTAAACTAATGCTTCATCCGAATTGTAAAGTAATAAATAATTTGAGACAATAAAAAACTTTTCAAAGAGACAAATAATATCAGACACAAGGAGCATTAATTAAGTTCTTCAATACAATATTTAGAATTTCTGACGATATTAATACTATTATTAAACTGTCTCTATAATTTTTGACTGGTTTTATAAATGTTATACCCGGTGAAATACACGACTGATCTTGCATCATTGATCTGCTTATAATATCACACACTCTTGTGTGTGTACTTAGTAAGTGATTATTTATATAGGTCTACGGTGCAAAATATCCGACGCTTTTCACCAACCGAAAATAAGTATAAAATTACCTTTTTAAAAATAAATTGATTTTTACATAAAGATATATCTTTCTTTTAAAGTAGCTAATGATATATCTTAAAATGTTAAAAGTGTTTTGATTTCATGAACTAATTAATAGTTTACATGTTGCATGTGAAAGTTTTTAGACTCGTAACTTTCCGACGTCGTTTCAAATAAATTAATTTTGTAAATTAATTTTATTTCCTATTAAAAGAATTAAGATATTCAGGAATAACAAATAAATAAATAAATAAATAAATAAATAAAATAAATGTGTTATTTCTCGATATGAAAACAGAAACCGATGTTATTTATTTATTATTTTATTTTTATTTTTTATTCTTAAAATATCTTTCTCATTCTTAGTCATATAATATTATTATTTTTCAATTTTTTATCCAATAATTTAATTTTGATAAATTTGCAATTTGGAGTTTTTAAAATGGGATTATTTTTGAAGTAGTAATTAAATTGGTGTTGGCCGCCACCGGGAACGGCGGCATCGGACGGAGACGGAGGAGACGCCGCCACCAGTGGCGTCTTCTACTTTTTAAATTATTATTTTAATAATTTAATATTTTAATATTTTAATATTTTAATATTTTTTAATATTTTATTATTTTAATATTTTCTTATTTTATAATATTTTTATTATTTTTTAATATTTTAATATTTTCTGATTTTTAATTTTTTTTTACAAATAAAACAATTCTAACTACATTTTATTAAATTTATTACATTTTATTAATTAGATTTATTACATTTTATCAATTAGTGTTAAATTAATCAGTGCATATATTTATCTAATCAACACAAAAAAATATGTAACAAAAACAAAAGGAGTTTCTAGAAAATTAAAGAGTTATATAAAATAAATAGGTCCAATAAAAGAGTTATATAAAATAAATAGGTCCAAAATGAGTAAAAAGACAAAATGAGTACAAGAAAATAAAATTGGCACTATGAAGTCAGTGCCTATGTGAACCAGTGCCACATGCAGGTGCCCGTCTAGTCCTACGCGGCCTACCATCTCGACGAATGTCAGGATCTGCCGGTACATCATCAACAAACTGGGTGTCATCCGGTGGATATGGAACAGGGGAAACATTATACTGTGGTCGGATCCGCTCTTGGGGACTTGAGTATCCCAAATTGAGCTCCAAATGTGGACCCCATGAAGAGAACTGAGTATCAACTAAATCTGTAAATATGGGTACCTGCGATGTAGACGCACTGAAAATATCCATAAAGTTAACACTAATTGATAAAATGTAATAAATATAATTGATAAAATGTAATAAATTTAATTAAATGTAGTTAGAATTGTTTTATTTGTAAAAAAAAATTAAAAATCAGAAAATAAAAATTATTAAAATATTAAAAAATAAGAAAATATTA